AAGAAACAGGAGACATCATTGAAGGTACATTATGATTATACTTATGTGCAAATACCTGGATAACAAAAAAGGGAACAGCAAACAGTACTAATAATGGCTTTATCAAGATAGAATCATGGGTGATGTTCATGTACTTAATTTTTTGGTCTTTTTGAAGCAGGGTCTCCCTTGTAGCCCCAGCTGTCCTGGAACTCACTATGTAGACCAGACTGGCCTTGAACTCACAGAGATCCACCAGCCTCTGCCTCCCAAGTGCTGGGACTACAGGTGTGCGCCACCAAGCCCAGCTAATTTTTTTGTCTTTAAAAAAACATTTTACTGGGGCTGGAGAGATGGCTCAGAGGTTAAGAACACTGGTTGTTCTTGTAGAAAACCTGGGTTCAAATCCCGGCACCTACATGGCAGCTAACAACTGTCCATAACTCCAGTTCCAGGGGATCTGACAGCCTCTTCTGTCCTCTGCGGGCATTGCACAACATGGGTGCACTTACCTACATGCAGGCAATACACGCGTACACATAAAATAAAAATAATAAAATGTAAAAAATATTTTACTTATTATTTTTATTTTATGTGTACAAGTGTTATGCCTGCATGTGTGTAAGTACACCGGGGTCCTGCAGTGCCTGCAGAGGTTAGAAGAGGACATCAGATCCCATGGAACTGTAGGCAGGGATGGTTGTCAGTCGCTATGTGTATGCTGGGAACCAAACTCGGGTCCTCTGCAAGAGCAGCCAGTGCACTTAACTGCTGAGCCATCTCTCCAGCCCTTAATTTATAAAAAAGTTATTTCTTTAAAAAAAGTTATTCATTGCTGGGAAAGTGGAAACGATAAAAAGTGTTAATAAGGAGAAAAAATCTGAAACAGTGTGGTGATGCACTGCAATCCCAGCCTGTAGAGGGGGAAACAGGAGGATCAGGAGTTCAAAGTTATCCACAGCTACACAGTAACATCCAGGTCAGCCTGGGCTACATGAGATCTTGTTGAAAGAAGGAAAGAAGGAAGGAAGGAAGGAGGGAGGGAGGGAGGGAGGGAGGGAGAGAAGGGAGGAAGGAAGGAAGGAAGGAAGGAAGGAAGGAAGGAAGGAAGGAAAAAAAAAAAATTCTCATATTGAAGTTCATTTTTTGTGCTCCCTGATGCTGCATGCTTTCTTAGTTTGGATCTCTCTCTCTCTCTCTCTCTCTCTCTCTCTCTCTCTCTCTCTCTCTCTCTCTCTCTCTCTCTGTTTCTCTGTTACTATGTAGCCCAGGCTGGCCTCCATCTCAAGCTCCTCTCTTTAGAATTCTTAGACTTCAAAAAGGTGACTTAACAGTCACATAGTGTTGTCATACCATGATCTGTTTTTTTTTTTTTTCCACACTAATTGCTGATATTATAGGTTTGTGATTTTTCCTGAAGAAAATTTAGGACAAAATAAATGACAGAGCCATATCATGACTCAAAACCCAGAAAGTCTTCAGAAAAGAGGGGATCAGAATGGAGAGGACAGCCACTAGAGAACTGAGGCGCTATTCTTGTGGCCAAATAGTAGGAAGCCACTCTGCACAGTTAGGGACACCTACTTCCAATGTTTTGAACTTAAAGATAGCAAAATTCTCATAGGAAGGTTTATAGCTTGGCGGTAACCTTCCCCAACTCTGCATTTTTGTCCCATGCAAACAACAACAAAAAACTACATTTGGGGTCCTTATCTTAAAAAAAAATACCTCTAATGGTTAGCTTTTTAAATTTTATATTTTTATTTTATGTGTATGAGTGTTTTGCTTGCATGTATCTTAGAGCACCATATACATTAAGTGCTGGTGGGAGGCAGTTGTTAGCCAATGAACCCAGGTCAAGTGCTCTTAACCGCTGAGCCATCTCTCCCATTCTGGGGTCCTTATCTTGCTCAGGCTTTTGAGTCACTGGCCTGAAGGGGTAACAAGGCCCAGAAGGACAGTTCTTCCTACCCTCCTATAGAACTGGGGGCAGTGAACCATTAGCTTCAGGCCAGGAACAGATGTGGTGGTGTTCAGAGAAAGGGACGTTAGGGAACATTGACAGTCAGGGAGGGGTGTTCTCAGTTCAGACAAGCTTCCCACATGGCCTTGAAAAAGAACTGGCTCGGGGGACTGAGAGCGAGAGGAAAGGACGGAGGGTACACAAGGCTGATCTTTACTTAGGTATGGTCCATCCTGGAAGAGAAAGAAGCCAAGCTAGAGCGGGAGCTGACCTAGGAAGCCAGTGATGAAGGCTCTGCCAGCCAAGGAGGCGTGGGCTGATGACAGGAGCCTGGGGAGCAAACACGTCTTGAGTGTGCGTGGGCTATATGCGAGAACTGTAACGGGCAGCAGGGTGGGGAGTGCAGGGGCGGGGCGTGGGTGAGGGGCAGAGTGGGAAAGCGGCGATAGGAGATGGAAAACAGCCGGGCGAGCACCTTTGCCCCGCACTTCACAGCGTGTGCCCATTTCGATCCTTGCGATCTTCTGGTTTGGCGGAAGAAAGCGAGGTTGGGGGGTATTGGGGGGG